TATTATATAATAGTAAGTGTATATTTATTTTCTTAGTTTGAGAACTTGAAGACTTTAGTTTTATCAATTAATAAATACTCTTTATAGTCATGGGCTATATAAATACGAATAAAACAAGTAGAAGAACATTATTTCAAAATAAATAAAATATACAAATTAATGATTACTATTTTCATAAGCAAATATTTTTTGTGAACTTGCTAATTCAGTTCTACTATTAATAAATATTGTAACTAATGCTGAAATTAGCTAATTCTAAAATTTAAACTTCCAATTTAAATCTATAATACTTACTAAAATTTACATATACTTTTTTATTAACAACTCTACCTTCAAACCCTAACCAGATACTAAAAAAAAACTCTAATAAAAAGACCTGAAAATTTTTTAAATTTTCATAATAAAATAAGTTAAAATTTTAGTATTAGCCAATTTCAGCATCAGCCATAACAATAAATAATATTTGTAATTATGAGATAAATAAATACAAATAATGATTTAAAAGGCTGATTGAGATTAGTAATATGAAGAAAATGATTTGAAGGTATTATAAATGGTTAAATATTTAATATTTTTTATTTGTAAACTTGTTAATTTCTTAATTTGTTAATTTTATAAGGGTATAGACCAGGGAATAAAATTCAAAGTCAAAATTTGGTGTGCAAAGTTTGATATAGTAGAACAAGTCTAACTGTATAGAGTACATTATTTTAAATAATTATTAAAAAAATTGCATGTGCTTTGTACACAGCATTATATTTTTTTTGTATGTAAAAAAATTTTCTGTGTGCGGAGTGCATATGCACATATCGAATTTTATTCACTGGTATAGACATTTATCAGGTGATTTCCGCCTTTTAAGAGAGTACTCCCTCCCCTACCTGATACTAAACTAGCCAATCAAATTCAAACAAATAATATATATAGTTTAATTTTTATAATTATTTTTTTATATTTATATTTATATTACTCTGGCTATAAGTTTTTCTACAAATACCAAACCAAATTAAATAAAATTTTTACTGGAGATAGAAATAATATTGAACTACAGTATATTAAAATTTTAGCCAATTTGAATTAGTAGTTCTTGAAAAATTGCTTAAAAACTGTAAATAATTTTTTTAATATAATTACATATAGTTTTTAAGTAATTTCTCAAAAACTACTAACCATAATAAATTATCAAAACTCTTCCCAACGATCCTTTTTATCACAAAAAAATTCAAAATTCTTAAAAAAACTAGCGTTTGTAAAGGTTGAAACAGACAGGGAAGAAGTCTTTAAGCTCTGTAACTCGGCAGTTGTTATTTAGAGGTAGTTTTCATATGCTACCTGCTAACTTAGAGTTTATCACTCACTGCGGGCCGGGCACTTGTTGTTTAGAAATAGTTCTCATACACTATTTGCCAACAAGCCCAGAGTTTATCACTTACCTGAAAAAATAAGGAGAGTACCTGCGCCTTTCTATGGATTCAGCGTGTTGAGTAAAGAAAATACACACTCCTTTACTAAATAAAACAAAGTGGTTTCATCTCTTTTTTCTGCCTCCTCACCGCTCTTCCAAAATTTTACACAAAAGTAGACAAAACAGTTTACCTCCTCCAAAAGATCAGCATTTTTACTTCTTCCAAATCTGGACAGTTCTAACAGACTGTGATTACATATCTGGTTTGTTTTGTTTATAGACCATGCTGCTTCACATAATACCGAGGTTGGCCACTTACGTCATTTAGGAGTCTGGATGACCTAGTCAGAAAATTTACTTGATAAGATGAAGCTTTACACTAGAGATATACAAATATCATATTTGTTATATAATTTTTTTCAGCCTAGTACAGGTAATAGTATTGCTTGTCATTTTCTCTTTTATATTCCCTTTTGTATATGTTTTTTTTTTTCTTTTATTTCTTTGTTTTTTCTTTTTCCTTTATTTTTTATCATATTCATCATCTTTTTGTTTTTGTTGTTTTTATTTCCCTTTTTACTTTGCTCCTTTGAAAGAAAAATGGTAAGAAAAAGGCAATCTTGACAAAGCTTATAGTGATTCTTTCAAGGAGCCATCTAGCAAGTTAGATGCCAGAGATGAATAAATTATTGTTGCGGCAGATCGCACTTGGGCACTATTATGAGTAGCCAAGTGAATCTTTATTGAAGAGTAGGAGGGTGGAAGATATTGAGTTTATTGCAGACTTTTTGTCCTGAAACTATATATTTAGATTACACACTTCTAATACAATAAAGGCAAGATTGCCAAAGGTTAAAAAAAAAATAATAATAAATTTTAAAAAAAGTAAATCATAAGCAATTTTATAGCAATTTTTTAGGCAAATTTGTCTAGAATTGCTTATAGTTTAAGAGATATATATTATATATATAAAATTAGTATAATTGAATTTTTTAAAATAGCTAATTATATTAAATTTTATATAAAGAGAAGAGAAAAAGCTCTTATAGTAAATTAATTTTATATAATATATTATAGCTTTAATTGCAAAACTAATTAATATCTCTATTAACTAAAAAACAAAAACTATTATAAGTTCAAAGTAAAATTATATAGTATTTGTTGTATTATACAAATATGTAAGTAGAGATAAACAGAAAATTCAAAGTTATATTTTTTATATTTTTACTATAGAAGCATCAAGAATAATACTTCTAAAGTATCAAAAGTATAACTTTTGTATAAAAATTGAACATCATCTACTATACTTCAAACAATTGGTGCTTAGTACAATTAAATAGAGAAACAAATATTAATTAAATTACTTTGTAAATTATTATATATATCTATGCAGTATATATGTTGTAAAATTAAGAAATAATGGAAGATAATTAACTAATTCAAAATTTAACTAAAAAATACTATAATCTCTAAACTACTAATAATAAACAAGATTAAAACTCCAAAAATAAAAGATATCAAATAGAGATATAATAAGATTTGAATTAAGTTTTTTAGAGTTTGGGCCTTGTAGCAATTGAAATAAGTATAGTTTTATATTTTTGAATACTTGTTAGACTATAAGTCCTAATAATTGTTAAAAAAAGATTCTCTTCTTATATTGAGCACAATAGGTTTTGATATTTGGTTACAATTATTAAGATTCTTAACAACTATTATATGGTTACATTTGGTTGAAAATAGTTTTTCAATATTTTTAATTATTTTACATAATAGTAGAATAATAGTAAAAATGATGAAATCTATTTAGAGTCTGATTTATTTTTCTATAAAAGATGTCTGATTAATAAAAGAAGTCTGATTACTAATTGATATTTTCTTTTTTTTATTCTTTCTTAAATTCAAGAATATGGGTATAGTGAAATTACAGGAACAAGGGAAGTTAAAAACAGTTTTATTATAAATGATTTATTCTGTATAAATTATCAATCAAGAAAATAACTATTTTAGAGAACTAATTTCTACTATTATTCTTTTTAAAATCAGGAACTCTTACAAGTTGGATTTTATTAAAGCAAAAAGATAGGTTTTAAATACTTTTTGATATTTACTACATACATAAGTGTTGTGTTTTACTAATTTATACTATTGTATTATTTCCACCCATATAGATTCACAGGAAGATAGTTGATATGATACAAATTTGTACCTGCTTAGACATTTGATACAAATTCATACCTGGTTTGGTTAGGTACAAAATTTGAACCAGGTTCGAATTTGTATTAAGATATAAAATCTTATTTTTGGTAGAGTGATCTTTTCTACTTAGACTATTCTAACTTTGTAAAAAAAATAATACTACTAAAAAAAATATATTAGCATAATATAAAATATAAATAAATAAAAAAGAAAAATTATCAACTCTTCCCAACGATCACTCATATCTAAAATTTAACAAACAAAAAATAGAACTTTTGTTGGAGAGACGTGGCCTTTTTGCGGTTTGTCTAGAGGTTAACTGCTTTTCTAAGGGACTCTCTAAAGTAGATGTCTGGCATGCAAGCCAGAAGCATTATTATACAAGATAACTGGCAGGTAGTACCCTGGTATAAAAAATTTTGGTGAAGTGTGGTAGTGAACTTGCTCATTTTCGTCAACGAAGCAAGTTGGCTATTACTTCAAAGAAGAACACAGGGGAAACAACAAAGTTCCAGTGGTCTAATACACTTTTTAAAATTTTAGAAGTATCTACAAACATATTCTTGCAGTTTTGGAATTTTTTTAGAAATTTTGGCCAAAAAGTGAAAAAATCAGTGTACCCTCTCCAAAAGATTGGCAGTGTTTACTCCTTCCAAATTAGGATGCATCTACCAAAATAGAACCTCCCACAAGCTTATTTAGATTCTGCTTTGCCAAATAAACAATGATGGTGGTACTGTTTATAGTATAGGGGATTAGAGAGATTATGTGTAAAAATTTCTTAACATTAAACTTTTTTTTCTTTCCACTTCTTTTAATACATATAGTGTTAGATTGGATTTTTTTTTTCTATGCAACATTATATAATTTATATAGCCTAACATAGACAATAATAGTGTTGTTATAGCCGTCTTTTTTTTTGACCTTTTTCTTTTTGTTTTCTTTTTACTTTGTTTTTTTTTAGTTTCGTTTAGTTTAGACTTTTTCCCTTTTTAGTTTTCCTTTTATTTTGTATTTGTTTTTTTTTTTTTTGTTTTTCGTTGGTAGTTCATCTATCTAGGAGGCTAAAAGAAGAAGGTTGAGAAAGAAGGCAGTTATGACGGGCTGGTGAACCAGATCAGTGATCCGGGGATGGGTTAGTTGAAGTGAAGTAAGCTGGGAAGATTGAACTCATCTTTGGCAGGTCGCACATAGATCTAATTAAAAACCAGATAAGCCATATTCCAGATTTTTTGCTATAAGACATGATATAATTCAGACAATTTCTTCAAAAAATATAGTACCTCATCAAAAAGCAGCATGTAACATGGCCATCAAATTAAAAAAAAAATTATAGATCACAGTCACCCGGCCCCTTTACAATATACATACCACAGATTGAATGAATCTATACCAGTTAACTATCAGATTCCTGATAGGTCTCTAATTTTTGTATTATAGAAACATGCTGGCTTATAGGTAAAGCTTTCCTAAAAGTATCCAATTTGCCTCTAATTATAAACAAATTTTTAGCACAAATAGGGCACTATTTGGAAATATATATTAAGAATCATATTCATATTAGTAACTGACATTTATCCAATTTGTATCTTATTGTTTGTAATACAACTATAAAATAGGGCACTATTTAGAAATATATGTAGAACTGATCATTTTAATATCGGGTACTCAATATTTATTTGATTAGTATTTTATTGTTTGTAATATAGCTATAAAATAGGGCACTATTTAGAAATATATATAGAACAGATCATTTTAATATCAGTTACCTAATATTTATCCAATTAGTATTTTATTGTTTATAATATGACTATAAAATAGTGTACTATTTAGAATTATATATAGTACAGATCATTTTAATATCATTTATCTGATTTGTATTTTATTGTTTGTAATATGATTATAAAAATAGTGTATCATTTAGAAAAATAGTGAAGATAATAGTAATCTTAGATCTCGAAGCAATACTCGCAAGGCTCTTAGAAATATTGAAAATGAATATGCAACTAGATCAAATAGAGTTAAATTAGATAAGGAAAAAGAGAATAGTGAAAACAAATACCTCAAGATTTCAAATTAACTTGAGATGAAAATATACATGAAAAAATCAAGCCAAAAAATAGTAGCTCTAGCAATTCAAGACAAGTTTCTACATCTGCATCCGATATATACGATAGTATTTTAGAGCAAATTTTAAACAAATTACAGAAAATAGAAGAAAAACAAGAGGTTTCAGTTTTCAATCGCTCCTAAGAGTGCCCCAGTTGCATTAACAGAAACAAATAAGCAATTTGGCTCAGTAGGGCAAACTTCATTTAAGATAACCTATAATGCCCTAGATTTTAATATGAATTTAGCATGTCACAACATTAATGGTCTTAAATCAAACAATCAAAAACTTTTATATTTAATAGACTGGGCTAAAGAGAAAGATATAGATGTTTTAGGAATCACAGAAACAAATATAGCAGAGAAGAAAGGCCAATATATACTCACCAAGAAAGCTCATTCAAAGGCTATTGGTCAAGTGCAAATGTTGATAAGAAAAAAGGCTTTGGAATGGGAGTTCTAATTAGTAAAAAAATTCAAAAAAGCTTAGCAGATCTTAGAAAATATAACGAATACCTACTAGAATTGTTTCTAATCATAGAAAACCTAAAAATTAATATTCTTGTTGTATATCTTTTTCCTAATTATAAAAAGCAAATTAAGAGGATCTAACAACAAGTCATAAATACATATATTAACAGATCTAGAAACTCAAAAATAATAATCATGGGAGATTTTAATCATATAACAACACCAGAACTTGACAAACAGAGTCATAATAGTACATGTATATACAAAAAACTTCTGTTGCATATTTGGATGCTTAATCAGAATTTTATAGACTCTTTCTGATACTTAAATCCTGTCACACAAGCCTATACATGGTCTAATGGTAGTACAGCTACACGTATCGATCAGATCTGGATCTCAGAAGGCTTAGAAAATCATTATATAAGGCAGAAATCTGGGATATGGATCTAATTACAGAAAGTGATCACAATACAATACTAGTAAACTTAAAATACAATAACATGATGTTAGATCAGGCCCAGAGTGTCAACAAAGAAAAAAGTTCTCACATAAAGTTTCTTTACGATAAAGCTTCACCTGAAAATTGGGAAGACTACAAGACTTCACTACAATCTTTTCTTAAAAAACGTACAGCCTCATTAAATACATTAGAGAAAAATACAAATGAAATATCACAACAAGATTTAGATTATATCTGGTCTTCAATTGAAACAGGGATTTTACACGCAGCTAAACAAAACATCTCTTTTAAAAAAATCGGCCTTTCGTCAAATAATAAATGTTCATCAAAAAAGAAACAAACAAGGTCTCCTTTACATGAAGATACAGTCAATATAAGCAAAATCTGTCAAGAAATTAAAAGACTAACAAGAGGAAATGAAGACCAAATAGTGAAGTTTATAATAACTGAAAAAAGAATACAAGAAATAAAATCTCTTTTATACAAAATTAGCACCAGACATGGTTTCAACATAGTTCTTGATGAAACTGTAATGTTAGAAGAATGAGTGCAGAACATCAAGGGTTGGCTATATATTTTCAACAAAAAATGGGCAGCAGGAATAGAAAAACAAAAAAACGAAAGAATCAAGGAATTTACAGATCAGCGCTATCTTATGATCCCAGATGAGCAGGGTAAAATGCTCAAAAGTATACTTGACAAGCCCTTCTTGAAGGCCAAAATAGATAGAATTTTAGAGAAGGTCGAAAATAAGTTCCAATTACACATGAACCCTAAAGACGTTCTATTAAATCTTATACTTTCTTTCAAAACCAGTACAACAAAAGCAAACCAAACATGACCTCTCTAACTCCTGAGTGGAAGGAAATCTACAAACTACAAGCAGAAAATAACACTTTCTGGTATACAAATTTAGAAGAAGATATCTCAGAAGAAGAATAATACAAGATGCTTAAAGAACTTAAAAACAATACTCATCAGGCATAACAGGAATCAGATACGTGCTTATCAAACAAGAAAATGGTTATATTCAAGATCTATTTAGAAAATTCAGCACAATCTGTCTTAAAACTGGAAAAATATCAAGTAAATGGAAGCACAGCTAAATTTACCCAATCCCAAAGTCAACGGAGTGGGACTTTACCTTAAACACTCTTAGACCAATCACATTATTAGAAACATTTCATAAATGTGTAACAAAGATCTTAGCAACATGGCTTTCAGAAATATTGACAAGAAACTTAATTCTTAAAGGTCCAAATTATGCAGGCCTGCCTGGTGACTCTACATCAAAACCTATTTTTATTTTATATAGTATTATAGAGAATGCAAAAGAACAAGAAAAAGAACTTTGGCTTCTGTTCCAAGATATGCAAAAAGTATTTGATTCAGTCCCTCTTCAAATACTTAAGCTTGCAATAGAAAGAATTAAAATTCCAAGCACATCGATGAATTTTATTATAAACTTATTCAAAAATCAGAAAACACAAATCTTAACAGCAGTAGGCTCCACAGAATATATCACAGTATCAGATCGTATAGAGCAGGGAGAAGTTCTGTCTCCGCTCATTTGGCGAATATTTTATGACCCACTGATACATAGGATTCAAAGCAACAAAAATCTGGGCTATACAATAATTCTCAAAGAGCCACTAGATCTGCGTAAGAATTCATACAAAGAAACAAAGTTTTGCCAAGCAGCTTTAGCATAAGCAGACGATATAACTTGGATAGCTAGTAGCAAGTTACAGTTAGAAGAGACACTCAAAATTGCAGAAAAATTCTACCTAATCAATGACATTCGTGTAAACCCAAAAAAGTCAAAGCTGATAGTATTTAACTCGACAAAAAGTGCAGACAATCAGAATATAATACTAGCAAATGAAAAAGTATAAGTAGAAAAAAGCAAGTCGCTTACAAGATTTTTGGGTGTTTGAATAAGCAAAAAAGCTCAAAATCTATTAAACAAAAATAAGGCTAAGCAAATAGTCCAGATGACCATCAAGATATTAAGATACAAGAAGCTTATACTAAGTTAGCTAATTTACTTAAACAATATGTATCTTATTCCTAAGCTATATTATATTCTACAAACTTCAAATCTGTTAAAAAATGCTTTAGACGAAATACATCAACTGATGATAAGACTCATAAAGAACAAAGTCGAGTTACCATGTACAACAAGCAACTTTTTACTTGCATATAGAGATTTAGAAAACTGCAAATTTCTTTGGCAGGAACTCTTAATACAACAAATAACAAATCTATATCAGTGTCTAAATAGTTTAGATCAGAATAGCCATTTAGCAAAAATTCATATCAAGCAAGGTCTCCTAAGAGCCGATTTAGTAGATAGCAATTGGCAATTCGAAGCATACCCATACTTGAATTCGATCTGGAAACTTAATATAACATGTCTAACGTTATGCAAAGCAAAAATCTTCAATATGAACATTAGACTCACAATTGATCGATAGCTCTTTCAAGGTACTGAACTACTGATATGAGAAACAATGAATTTCTCTCTCTTCTTAAAATTATACAAAAATCTTCTCAGCTTGGATATTTTATTTCAGAATCAACTTCTTGACAAAGAAGAAAAAAGACTTTTAACATGACAACAACTCAAGGTGGCAAAAGGCAAACCAAAAGCCAGAAAGAAAGCCAAATAGTTCACTTTTCTATGCTACAAAATCCAAAAAGCAGAGTGATTAAAGAAGTTTACCAAACAACTAGTCCAAACAATTTAGCACCTCTGGCACCACTCGTACATATCTCTTCAAATAAGAAAAAAAAGAGTGGATACTAATAGATAAGGAAAACAATAAATTAGAGCCAAGAAAGATTGTTAGAAAAGGCAAACGTAAAGTCCTTACAGAACATTGGGAGTTTAAGGAAAATAGTTCAACAGCAGGGTACATTGAAATAGAAAAATATAAAGAAACATCTTCATTAAACCAAGATAGAATTTATAGCTAGATGAGCTAGAGTAATGTTTTAACAGTAATTCCAAAGCTACTAGAAAAGGATAATCGAAAGAATATTTTAAGATATAAAGATATTCTTACTAGCATTAATAGTAGACAAAAGATAATGAAACCAAGTAAAGAAAAAAGTTTGTTTGTTAGTATACAAAATATGAAATCTTTAGATAAACAATTAATAGCAGATCAAAATTTTAATATAGAATTAGATAGTAGTTTAACTAATAGTTTAGACTTAAATAATAGTTTGAATACCAATAGATTTTGGATATATACAGATAGTTTATTAGTAAGAGGAACAGATAATTGTAGTATGGGTATTGGCTGGGTACAAGTAGATGAGAAACAAGAATAGTCACTATGTGAGGGTATGGCAAAGATAGAAAATTGGCCTTCATCAACAAAGCCCGAGCTTATCGCGATTTGGCTTTTACTTTTTACAATTCCAATGAATAGTGATATTTGCATTTACTCAGATAGTGTAGCAGCAATCTCCAATATAGACAAGATCAAAAGTAAATGAAGATTCAATAAGATTTTTAAAGAAAAA